CTGTGCTAACACCAGGGAAGCAGTCTGAGTGAGCATTGTGGATCATAGCTCATGAATGACTGAAAATTAGCAGTTTGGTAGCAGTCCCCAGATTCATTGGACAAAACTACCATAGAATTTTGGGAGAGGTTTTTGTGATAAGGGACAGAGCTCTAGCTGTAGGGAGCCAGTAGTGAGGGACCAACAAGGATCTGGAAAAGCATTTTAGGCATACAATGGAGGAAGAACTGTAGCTTAGGTTAGATAGCTGTTCCTGTTCCAGAAGCTCTGTGACCTGGCTTGTAGCTTAGTTCTGTTTTCAGTGTTTCTAGGTGAAATTTCTGATACTGTGTGTCTGCTTAGACTGTGACTTCTCTTTTTTTTAAGAGATTCAGAACAAAAGCAGATGATGTTCTATTACTAGCAGAGGTAATGTGTGTTGTACTGTTAGTGTTTACAAACCTCTTTTACACTATTGCAGTTCAATTTTTTATCTCAGGCTTTTACATAAATTTGACAGGAATGAGGTTCTTGTCAAGAAGCTTAAAAAAGCTACCTCAAAATTGGGCTGGATCAACAGCTGTAAAATACAGAAAAGCTCTACATTGTATGAATTCACATGTTTGAGGCTTTAGAGTGGTCTTCCCTGAGCATATATGTGCAGGCAGTACAGACTTTTTGGTCTAGTCCTTGTGGAGTTGGATGTGCTAATTGAGCCAGACTGGTGAGAGTAAGTGGTGACTGGGAAGTATATAATTAAGCTTGCAGAGTTGTCTCATTAACTTTTCTGTCTCAGCTCTGCAGTGCTATTTCTTGGTGTAAATTTGCATAAAGCATTTCCTGGCTGAGAAGTCTCTGAACAGACACACAGTCTGATAGTTAGGGCATTAGCCTGTGACTTCAGAGATCTCAGCTCAAGCCACCAGTCTTCTGTAGCAGCCTCTCTAAAATGTGTAGCATTTCCATTTCTGAGGGATTTTTTTTTCTCCTAGATTGGAGATAATGTCCTTGTCCTACCTCACAGGAATCTTGCATTATCTAAATGCATGAGATGTGATGTTGGGCTGATATGGCAATGGTGAGGGATGTGTAGATTGAGAAATGATGGGTAGCTGGTGAGCATAGTTCCCATGGAAATCATAATAGCGGCTGTACAAAAACACAAGTTACATTACATAAGGGGGAAGAGGGGGCTTTTCTGTGTTTTTGAGGTTGTCTCTGTCAACGTAGCAATACAGCACTTACCTGGCTAAATAAAGTCTTGCTTTTCAGGCAAGATATGTCTGGAAAGTGAGCAGTGGAGTGGACTGCCATCCAGCAAAGCCCACCTCCTTCCATTAGCTTGAGCTTCTGGCTGTTCCTCAGCTTTGCAGCCACCTGAGTTTTATGTTCTGGCTTTGAAGATGGAGTGCGTCTGATGCATCAACATCATCATTATTGTTATTATTGTTATTATTTATTTGCACCTAAAGCCTCAGTTGTGGTTGGCTTTCTGCTGAGCTTTGAGCTGCATTCAGCTGCAGAGTTTCTAGACTGAATGAAAGTGGTGTGGTGAGGTTGGCAAACAGGAGGAAAGCAGCCAGGAGAAGTTGATGCAGAGAATGTGCCACTAAGTAGGTCACTTTGGTGTGCAATTGCATGGTCTGGAATTGCATGAAAGTTGCTTACACCTTTGGAGTAACCAAAAGGAATACAGGCTTTTTTCCAGCTGCTGCTTGTCCTAGACACAACTGCCTCACCAAGTGCTTGGTGGTGCTTTAAGAGAAAGGTGCAGGAGAGAGATGTAGTGGTGTGTCTGGTCAGGATGCAGGTCTTGCCTTTGAGAGGGAGAGTGTTGCTCTCTGACTTGAGTGTATTTGGAAGATGGAGGTTTAGTGAAGGGTATCATGAAGAATAGGAATACGTTCAGGACAAAGGAGAGATTCACTAGGACTGTTTGGAGAATTATTATTACTGTGTTATTGAGTATTTGAAATGCTGGGATGCTGGAAGCACACAGCTATTTCTGAAGTACTAGGAGAACTTGATTAAATGCTGCTTCCGAAAAAGAGAGAAAAACAGTTTTTGAAAAAAGGTCTGCCATAGCTTGTAACTGAAGAGCAAATTTTCAAAAGGCTTCTAATGGGTCAGGTTTTACACAGCTCTCATGACTGTGTTAAGCATGCACCTCATGGCAAGTTGCTTCTGTTCTCAGCACCGTCTGGAAGAATCTCCCATTTTGCAGACGGGACACAGGCTCATCTTCACAGCTCCTTTGTTACGTCTCTGTCACAAAAGAGCCTTGACCTCAAGCTTCTCAAATACTAGGCTGGTGCCGTGATATCAGGGGGATGATCCCTCTCCTGATGGAAAACAAAACAACACATTTAATCGTTAAAAAACCTCTTAAGTCACTTTGCAGTGAGGATTTGGATGGTTGAGTAATATAACCTGTTACGTGCTGTGTAATTGTAAGTTTGACCTCTGTATGCTTTAATAAACAGAAGTGTATTGATGTGATGCATTTCAGATTGTGGAGCAAAATACACTAGCAGTCTGCTGATCTCAGGTTCTTAAATCTGGGTTTGGGTTTTTTTTCTTCCTCTAACTGTTCTGGGAAAAGGAAAAACTGAAAAACAGTTGTTCAAGAATTAAACTACAAGGTATTTGTCTTGGAGGGCTTGATCTGGCAAACTGCAGACATCTGCTAAATTAAATCCTGTTTACAATTTAAATTATCTCTCTTTTTGCTTGCTGTTGTTTGGCTCTGTTTCTCGAGCGTAGTTAAAGCCAAAATAAGAAGCTCTGCTGAAGTTTTAAAGAGAGATGTTGATAAATTCCATCCTACGAGTGCCATTGCTTGGCTGACAGGCAAAATTTGCTTGTGTGTATTGGGACCCATAGCAGGAAAAAGCGACACTGAAGGGAAAAAGCGAAAAGACTATTTGTAAGAGATGCCCTTTGATCTTATTTTATCCAAGTAAGACTTGAGAAAATGAAGGCATCTGACTTTGGGATTTAAGGAGACTGTCAGAGTCTAAAGAGTTTGGCAGTTGCCACTTAGGCCTGCACTCATTGTTTCCAGCTCTCTGAAGTTGTTATTTAATCTTAGGAGAAAGTTCAGGAAACAGTAACTGATTAATAAAATTGCTTCTCATACAGTGAAACATGTACAAACAGAAACCTCAGCTAAAGAGAAAAAAAGTGTAGTAGTGAGTGCAACCAGTATTTCATATTTATAACAGACTTTACCTATGTGGGGAAAATGTGGCAAAGTTAGCAACTGCATTGGGCAGGCAGCTCTTGGGGCATCGTATGTGCTGAGGCCTGCACCAGTTGAAGGTGCCCCTCTGTGTGGCCTGAACTGGCTCACTCCTTGGTATTTATTCATCTAAACCTGCTTGAGAAGTTGGTATCATCACAAAATGATTTGGTTTGGCTATGGAACAGAGGCAATGCATATGTTCTAAAAGATGATTGAGAGAGAGGGCACAGGTAACCATTAGTTTATATAATGCCTAGTTTTAGCACTCAGCTCCATCTTCAGTTTTAATCCCAGGTCTCCCTCCATCTGTAAGAGTGCCATGCCACCAGCTGGCAGGGCTCCCGCCTTTCTGATATCGTCACAAAATGGGTGGGTTTGGCTATGGAACAGAGGCAATATGTTCTAAAAGATGATTGGGAAGAGGGCACAGGTAAGGAGCCCAAACGATTAGTTTATATAATGCCTAGTGTTTAGCACTCAGCTCCATCCTCAGCTTTAATCCCAGGTCTCCCTCCATCTGTAAGAGTGCCATGCCACCAGCTGGCAGGGCTCCCACCTTTCCTGGGGAAGCCAAGCTGCCCACTGGGGAATAATCCCCTCAGGAGAACTGGTGTGCAGCGGGTGCCACACACATGGCAGAGGAGCCCCTGGAACCTGCTGTGTCCTCAGCAGGCTGCTCTGTGCTAGAGAGGCTGCCCTGGAACACGCGGCTCCCCCCTTCGTAATGCACTCAGGAGAGCTGGTGTGCAGCGGGTGCCACACATATGGCAGTGATGGCATGGGGGGCATGTGTGAAAGTGTGAGGTGAGGCCATGGCCTGCTTTGGTAGCTGTCCCCGGGAACCTGCTGTGCCCTCAGCGGGCTGCTCTGTGCTAGAGAGGCTGCCCTGGAACACGCGGCTCCCCCCTTCCAAAGGGAACGGTGTTAATGGGCAGGACACAAATGCACCCAAGTCTTCCATGTATTTGCTCCTTGGGTGCAGGAAAGGCCCAGGCTGCCACAGGTCTGTCAGAAGGCTGAAGGACAGGACAAGTAGTGAACTGCCAGGGTTATCCAGCCTCCACCTTCCCTGCAAGGCAACACATCCACACAAGTGGGTGCAAGGACGTGGGTGCTGCTGTTCTGATGAAGCAAATTCCCCTCCCTCCCTCCTTCCCTGTAAATGTGAATAGCTTTTTATCCTATCTTGAAAAGAAAGCAGATGCAAATGTAGATCAGGTACTTTCAGCAGTTTAAGTGCTCTTTGAGGTTGGGAAGAAGAAATCTGATTAGGGTTACAGCTGTTTCATTTCCTGACAGATGCACAGGGTGTTGTGTGCTGGCGAGCTGCGGATGTACACACACAGCAGCCTCGTTTTGTATCAGTGGCATAACCACACAGCAGCCGGCATGTTCGGAACTCCTTGTCCTGGACACCCTGCCAAAATATGCTTTATGCAGCATTTTCTGTGAACCAGCCTGTAGTGTGTTTGTGTGTGTGTGTGTGCATGCATATAAATTCGTGTGTGTTTTCTTTGGTTGACAGGGCCTTTGTTGTTGAACTTTTTTGTCGCGGGAGTGGGGCAGTGTGCTGTAAACAAGCACAGCTAATTATAAAGCACTTGTATAAAAAATGATTTGCATTTGTACAAACAGTACTAGTAAAAGTGCCTGTGCAAAAGTACCACAAGTACCCAAATAAGCCCAGCTCTGAATGGAGAACTCTTTTCTTTCCTGCAACCACAGCTAAAAAGCTGTTTATAACTAAATGCTGAGGTGGTGTAATTTTCTTTTCTAGGAACTTGGAATAAGAATTCCTAGACCACTGGGACACGGACCAAGCAGATTCATCCCTGAGAAGGAGGTGTGGTAGTGTTTTCAAGTACATAGTGAACTTTATGCTTTTAAGGAACATCATTTTAATAGTAGCCCACATTGGTTTCAGGACAGCTGTTGATCTGCAAAACATTTTCAGGAGTGATCACATTCAGTCCTGAGACTTTGGCCACAGTTCTAGTGTACAGAACAGTGAGAGCCTTGGGGAGCTTTGGAATAGTTATGACCCCTCCCATGCTGCTAGATTATCTAGTATGAGAGAAACCCAATACTGTTTCCTTGTGAACATCCGGATGTAATTTCCTACTGGTCCACAAGGTACCTGCCCCTCTGCTCTGGGATTGCTTTTTCTTGAGCTGCCTCTGCCACTCTGAAGAATCTGAGAAGGTTCAGAGTGCTTTGGATGAGCTTTTCTGCTGCTTCTCTCCTGATTGTCTGGTAAGAGAATTTGGAGCAGAGGAAAAGTTAGTAATATGGCTATGGTTTTCTAGGAATTTTAGTCTTTTTCAATTTCCTTTTTTCTCTCTTGTCATCTTAGCCAGCTTTCTGCTTCTTTCCCTCTTTTTCCCTTAGTAAAAGTGATGATTCAATTAGCTTTTAGTTGTAATTAACTAAGATCACCCTGGGGTTTTCAAGAAAGTGAAGGTGAGACAGTTAAAAATGCTAAGTTAGCATTGTATTAGAGAAAGACTAAAGCCAAAAATCTCCTTTTGCTGATACAACCACTTGTGATCTCCTAAATGAGAGGTATTACAGGGATTTAATGTGCCTTATGTGCACTGATTTAACGCCATTAATAGATTTATAGTATAATTCCTTTCACTTGGGGCCTCTGAGTGCTGTGGTAATGTATTTATTTGCTGTTTCATTGGTGGCACTTGGACCATATTGCTCATTGCTCCTTCTCTCCAATCAGACAATTCAGGTGGGAAAGGAGGACGCCACGATGCACACGCTGTTTGCAGAGTCTTTTGCCACGCTGGGCCGACTGGACAACGTCACCTTGGTGATGGTTTTCCACCCACAGTATCTGGAAAGCTTTCTCAAAACTCAGCACTATCTCCTGCAGATGGACGGCCCGCTCCCGCTCCATTACCGGCACTACATCGGGATAATGGTACGCCCCGGCTGAGAGCACTGCTGCTGTGCTTGGCAGTTTCTAGCTGGAAAGGCATTTCACCAGCAGCTAAGGGAAGAGCAGAGTAGGTTTGTTGGTGTCTGCTTTACAGATGGTTTCAGAAGATCAGCACTTTATGTTCATAGATTTGGTAGGACTGTGAAAAAAAGGGGGAAAGCATGCTATAGAAATGAGATAATTGTTTGTTATTGGCTTCCTTAGTATCTCAGAAACTGTTTCTCAAGAAAGCTTGTTTTTGTATCTGTGTCCTGTCACATACACTTCTAACTCAATAGTTGGTTCCATTGTGCATTTATGAATATGTAAATTTTGAGCAAGTTTTCTGCCAAAAGTGGTTGATTTCTAATTTTTAATCTGCCAGTTAAATGGTCTTTGCTTGCTGAAGTTGAATTAAAGTTTTGGGCTGTCTTAATTTGATGTAGAAAGTGTTGGAGTAAACAATACTGGGCCTTTCTTTGCTGAGAAAGTGCCTGTAATCTCTTGTCATATGCAATCTAAAACCTGCTTTTGATTGTTGCTGGTAAAGATGCAGCTAGAGACAGCTTCTTCCCCTGGGGAGCAGGATGCAGTATGGATTACTTGCTTCAGGACATGCAATAAATCCATGCCTGTATTTCTCCCTGGGTATAGGCACATTGCACCTCTAGCCAGCATAAGGATGGTGTGTGTGAACAAGGGATATTTATGTTGCGAGAACAATAATCAAAATAAGCTGATGTGTTAATCTCAAATCTTTGTTTTCTCGAGTCTGATCAGTACAAGTCTTATTCTTGGATGTTTTGAGGAAATGATGCCTTATGGTATTTGTCATAAAGTACTAACTTTCTGCAATTGTTTTCTGTATCACACTGTTTTCCTTTCTAGGCTGCAGCACGACATCAGTGCTCTTACCTTGTTAACCTTCACGTGAATGACTTCCTTCATGTTGGTGGAGATCCTAAATGGTTGAATGGTCTGGAAAATGCACCTCAAAAATTGCAAAATTTAGGAGAACTGAACAAAATGTTGGCTCACCGACCCTGGCTTATCACCAAGGAACATATTGAGGTAGGTCTTTCATGGAGTAATGCCAATGTCCCCTTTTTTCAGTAAAGCAATCACAGATTCTTGGGGTTCAGAGCCAGACAGGGTGAAAGATGTTCTGTGGTAGACTCCGATTTCAGTGCTACATCACTGCATGATCTAGTACCACTTGTACCCTGCTTTGTAAAACTAACAGGATCATAACTGCTTTTAAATGAGTAGCAAATTTAATTTACAGCACCCTGAAATTTCTCTGTCTTGTTGAAATTCTGTTGATGCAATGACAATATGCTCAAGTGTGCACCTCCTACCTCAAGCTGTGTGCTTTCAGTAGCCAGAACCCCCGAGTTTCTGAGATGCTGCCAGAGGTCAGGCAGAACACTGCCACCACATTTTTGCCTGGCTTGCTGCCAGTTCCACTGTTGAGTTTCAGGTGGGATGGAGAGAGCAGGCTGGCAGCGCTGCCCAGGAGAGTGGTGGTGGTACAGCCAGCCAGGACTGCAGCACCAACAAACCACCAAGGGGCTGCTTCCTGCACCCTTTCTGCTCTCCTCTGTGCCCTAGCAAGGAGCACGTGGGTGCTGGGACTTCCTCCGTGCCGCCTGGCCTGGTGAGAGCTGGTGGCAGGTCCAGCTGAGGCAGGACGCTGCGCCGTGGGGGAGGGCACACGCTGCCAGAAGGCCCCAAACCTCCCACACTTTCCTGCCTGAAGGGGAAGTTGGGGTTTGAAGCTTCTTGTAGAATCTAGAGCATTCCACCCACAGGGACAAGATGGAGGGAGCCTGTGCCAGGTTTTTACTTGCTGATCTGCAAGGAGTTGCCTGGGTTTTCCGATACTGTAAAGACCATTTGAACAAACATGCAACAGTTGTGGTTCCATCTTCATCAGAGGTGTGAAATTTCAATGCAAGTCAGTAGGGCCTCGATAGAAACCACATGCTGCAAAAGAGAAACCCCAGCTTATTCAATTGCCCAGGGACAGAGAGGGGAGAGAAGTTGTGTCCTTTGTGGCACAACCACGCAGGGCTGTGTCTGGCAGGTCACTGAGCACTAATGGCAGCAGAGACTTAGGAAGCATGTTTGGATGTCAGAAAAGTAATTTTACCTGACAAAGAAATGTGTTGATAAACTGCACTAAGGTGGGGTCAAATGAATTACTTTAATACTTTTGTCTTGCATTATTTTTAAAGCAACTTCTGAAGACAGAAGAGAACAGCTGGTCCCTGGCAGAGCTGATCCATGCAGTCGTTCTCCTTACACACTACCACTCCCTTGCTTCCTTCACGTTTGGCTGTGGGATCAGCCCAGAGATCGACTGTGAAGGGGGTCACACCTTCAGGCCCCCCTCTGTCAGTAACTATTGCATATGTGATATAACAAATGGTTACCACGGGGTGGATGAAATCCATGCCAGCCCAGCTGGAAGTATTCTAGTAAGTGTCTGTCTGAACAATCTCTTCCAACAGTAGTAATTTCTTTGTAAACTTAATACATGGAGGGTGCCTGTCTCCTTTCATTTCTTTGAGAGTGGGATTGATGAGTCTAATCCAGATGTGAGTGTTGAAAAAATGCATTTTAGAGAAGCTGAAATGATATTGGGAAGCTGGGGAAAGCTACCAAAGGGAGAAACAGACACAATCTCTGGTGTCTTTTTTTTCTGCCTGTCATTCATAAAGGTGAACTGAGATGAGTCCCAGCCTCAGCTAGTTCATGACACATGTCCTGAGCAGCAGTGTCCTGGAATGTTTTTTTCATCGGTGCAGTGGAAAGTTGGCTCTTCCTTTGATTCCAGGCTCTGACTTTTTGCCGTGAGGTGTTTGTCATGCATCACACACCGGATCATTTTTAACAGATCATTCACAACTTTGTGACTCTCTTTAAAACACTCTCTCCTGCCTGCAGCAGTTATGCTGATCTGGACTTGTTTTCCCTTGGTGAAAAGAATGATGTGAACTAAGTGCTGGTTTAAGAACAGCCATGAGGGTGTTCTCACTGCAAGATCCTTGCCTGTGATGTTTTACTGCAGTGGTGTGGGTGGCATTTAAATGTTTGATGGAGCTTGCTGGCTCTCTGAAGGACCAAACTGCAAAAGGCAGGGAGGAAAGGGGCAGAACTGTATAAATTAAACACAATTTTACTCTACTTTGGTGCTGATGAATGTTTACAAGATCAATTACTGAATTCTTGTGGTGTTAAGACAACTGTTGTGAAAGACGATTATTTTGCACTGGCTTTCTTTTGAGGCTTCATTAAATCTGCATTTATACTCACCCTTCCTTTTTCCTTCAATGTTTCTTCTCTGTGAGCAGAGGAGGAGAAAAATACAGTTGGGTGGTAAATTGTGGTTACTTCCTCTATCAGAATTTCTGTTACAGCTCCTTGTTTTTCAGTTGCTGAACATTTAGACTAAGAGAAACTAATTTTAGTGTGAGAACAACTAGTTCCAAAATGCTGTGATTTTTAAATCATGCTAAAAATACCATGGGTCTAATTGAGAAAAGATGATGACTAAATGTAAACCATTGTGTCAGTACAGGTTTCTTTCAAAAACTGTGTTCCTTGGAAAATCTTTATTTAAAGATGTAAAGGACTTCAGTTTTTTTTAAACTTTCTGGCTTGGCAATTACTGCCATCATTGTCAGTTCCCGTTGCATGAAAATGAAATGTCTTTCTCTTCTTTTTAGTCTACAGAGTCTGTCTGTGAAGTTGAAGCTCTTATGGAGAAGATGAAGCAGCTGCAGGAGTGCAGAGATGAAGAGGAAGCCAGCCAAGAAGAGATGGCCACGCGTTTTGAGAGAGAGAAGAGAGAAAGCATGTTTGTGTGCTCTTCAGGTAGTGCAGCTGTAGTCTGTATATGAATTTATTAAGACTTTTCCAAATTATTTGAAGAAATACTCCTGCAAAATGGAAAGAAGTGCTATTAGATGTCACACAAACATTACGATTTCTTTGAAGGAATCAAGAATAGGGATGCCTTGTTTTCTTCCAGGAACACTTAAAAGCAAAGTAGTGCCAAGATTTGTGGCTGCTCACAGACACACCATAACACTCACCAAAATTGTGTTTAATGGAAATCTCCAGAAGAAATGGAATCTCTCTCTTGAGAGCTTTAGAAGTTTCACAGGAGATTTAAGCATCTTGCAAGATGCTCTAAAAACAAGACACTTGACATGCTTTGTTATTTAAGTGCATGAAACATTACTTTTCAGATGACTGAGAGACAATACTTAATCTATTACAAGTTTAGGGTTGTAATGGGCTCTTCAGTACAATTTCCTCCAAGACACACTTGGCATGGGAGTCTCAGAAGTCTCTCTTTTAATAAGCTCTCTGTTCCAAACCAGGTTTTGCCCCTGACATTCTTCCAAACCTCTTGAGTTAGGGGGAATACATCCCCTAGATTCAGGGGACAGGGTGAAGACTGCAGTACAACAGAAGGGAGAAAAAAATGTTTGTCTGTAAGAAAAAACCTGAGTGTTTTTCATGGAATTGCCTCTGAACACCATAGCTGCAGTCAGAGAACTGTACCAGAAAATGTTAATACAGTGAAAATGTGTTTGATTAAAAAGCACAGAGACCCATTCTTCTTCAGGAGTTCTGCTCCTGCACTTCCAATTTGTTTTTTCCAAATTGTGTAACATTCTGTTTGACATTACAGAAGATGAAGAATCTGCAGCAACAAGAGATGTGTCTCGGCACTTTGAGGATACCAGCTATGGGTACAAAGACTTCTCCAGACACGGAATGCACGTGCCCACCTTTCGTGTTCAGGTAAAAGGCTGGGGGCTGCCATCAGGAGGCTCAGGGAACAACCTACTCATTGTGCCCCCTACCAAACCTGGAAATGGCTGTGTTCTCACTGCCCCGTGGGTGAGGCTTAAATGAAGCCAGCAAATGAACAACCCCCACCCCCAGTGGATTATCTGCCCTGGGATCTTTAACTATACTAAAGCTCTGGGTCTTCACAAGTTTATTTCTGATATGCTTCATTCTGCATTTTTACTTATTCTAAGGATTATTCCTGGGAAGACCATGGCTATTCCTTGGTTAATCGTCTTTATCCAGATGTGGGACAACTACTTGATGAGAAGTTCCATATTGCTTATAATCTGACTTACAACACAATGGCCATGCACAAAGATGTGGATACCTCAATGCTAAGACGAGCTATTTGGAACTATATTCATTGTATGTTTGGAATAAGGTCAGTTTTACTGTTTTGTTCTAAACACATTGGCTTTTCTTTCTCGGGTTGAACCAGAGCTATTTATTAAGCAAGCATGCATGTATTTTTAAACATAGTTTTGTTTATGGGGGAGGGCCACTAGTGCTACACTTACCCAGTAATTTGTTTTTCCATAGGAACTTAGAAACAATGCAAGTGAAATAACTGCTGCTTGAAAATGAAAGTGTTTTTCTTTCAATTCCAAACAGATACGATGATTATGACTATGGTGAAATTAATCAGTTGTTGGACCGCAGCTTTAAAGTTTATATCAAGACTGTGGTTTGCACTCCTGAAAAGACCACAAAAAGAATGTATGATAGCTTCTGGAGACAGTTTGAACACTCTGAGAAGGTACAGTTGGCGTGCATGCTGAGGGACAGCCAGGGGCCCCAGATCAGTGTCTCCCTGACAGCCACAGCCACACAGCTGAAGCTTTAGCTGGTGCTCCTGGGGTCCTGCTCACAGTCCACTCACTGGGAAGTGTTGTGTTCCTGGGCTGAAATAATCTCCCCTTTCCTCCTGCCTGTGTGCTGGCTAACAGCTGACATGGACTGGGCAAGCTCTGAGCAGTACAGGGGGTTAGACACGAGAATGGCACAGCTTGATCTCAGCTGCAGTCAGTACTGCCTGCATCCCAGAGAGGCAGGAAAGCGGTGCACGATCCATCCACCCCTTGGCAGCAGACCTGGAACTGCTCTCTGGCTGGGCCAGGGTCTTTCCAGTCCCCTGGTCCTTCTGGTATGGATAGCCCTAAAACATGTTTTTTATCAAAGCCTAAAAGCTCTGCTGCTGAGTTACAGCCTGAATTACATCTCCCAGTCACATTTCATGCTGTTAACTCCCAGATATTGAATCCATTAAGTTTGTCCTTCAGTTTTTCTTTGGAAAGGTATTTCTTGGCCTCACTTAAAGTCAATGTGAAACATAAAGATGCAGAAATCATTAATGCTCATATGATTAGAGGCTTGATAAACCCCTTAAGGCAGGGTCCTGTAACTACAATGATTTAAGATTGTTCAAGTACAACACTGCCTATGTTTTGGTTAGACTAACTGTGATAGATGAGCTTTCCAAGCACACAATTCCTTCTTTAAAGCCCAAAACTTTGCATCTCCACAGCCATCAAAAGCCAAGGCTCATTCACATATGTGTCACTGAATGCAATAACCATACATCCTCACAGAGATCATGCAAATGAAACCACACACAACCCTTACATGCCAGAGCAAACTCACAGCAACCTGCTGTCAGTGAGAAAATACTTTCACACCCTTCCCCCCACAAGTTTCTGATTTCATCCTCAAAGAAATGCAGTAAAGGCATTGAGGAGATGATGTGAGGAACTAAAATTCTTAGCTCCGATAGCTACTGAACACCTGTATCTCAATAGAGATAGAGGGTTTATGGCACTTGAGAGTTTTTCTGGTGCTTCACCTTGGCCAACCACTCTGTGTCATTCAGGTGGAAGCTGCCTGTGTGTTTCTCTCTGAGTCCCCAGGGACAAATGTCCTTATCACCTCTGCCTTTGCTAGCACCCCACTCTGCTCCACAGGACCTGCAATCATTAGCCTCGCTGAAACTGAACCAGCTGTGCATATTGTGCTGCTGAAGAAGGGCTTGTGTGCTTGAAAGCTTGTCTGTTTTTTCCAGCTAAACCAGCTGGTCTGCTAAAGGATGATTTCTCTTCCTGTGGCCCTGGCCCTATGTAAGTGTGCCCGTGAGCCAGTGCCACGCTGTGCCACAGGGTGTGGCACTGGTTCCTCTGCCCCTCAGTGAGCTCCACAGCAGGTGTGGCTGGTGACACAGGCAGTGCTCCCCTGCTGCTGCTGCACCAGCACACAGCCACAGCCCCCAGGCTTCCTCTGGCTGCAGCGCGTGGCGGTGAGCACGGTGCTAAAGGGGAACTTCTCTCTCCTGCAGGTCCATGTCAATTTGCTTCTGGTAGAAGCTCGGATGCAAGCCGAACTACTTTATGCTCTGAGAGCTATTACTCGCTATATGACCTGATGTCTCTGGCTGCCTGTCAACGTTGGAATGTTCTGCAGCTGCACGTGGCAGCGAGCACGGTGCTAAAGGGGAACTTCTCTCCTGCAGGTCCATGTCAATTTGCTTCTGGTAGAAGCTCGGATGCAAGCCGAACTACTTTATGCTCTGAGAGCTATTACTCGCTATATGACCTGATGTCTCTGGCTGCCTGTCAACGTTGGAATGTTCTGCAGCTGCAGTATGGCAGAGGAAGATACGAAGCCTCAGGACCAACAGTAGCTATAAGTTAAGATGCCCATTGTGCCATAACTCCTTTAGTTTCAGCTATTTCCATGTTTGGAATATCATTGCTGCCGCTGGGCAGCGAACGCTTGGCAGTTGACAGACAGGGTTGTGCAGAAGTGCTGCCTGCTCATGGTATTTTGGCTTTAGACAGCCCGGGACATTCTCTGAACTTGTGGCAATACAGCAAACCATAGATACGTAGATCTTGTGTTAAGGCAAATACTGCGGGAGTTGGAGTGCGAAAAGAACTGGGACTTGATGACATTTGCTTTCCCTACGAGAATAATTCTAGAAAATCTTGATGCTGCTATTTGTGCAGGTGGAGTGAACAGACCCAGGCTGTTCCAGTTGAGCTAGAAGTGAAAGTGAGCACTGCTATTGTCTGAGCCTTTATTGTGTGTGGTTTCAAAAAAGCCTTGTTATTTAGATTCCCTGTTTAATCAGAACTAAACCTCTCCTGTCCACACGGATAATTTGAAAGATAGCAGTCAATTTTCTCAACTAGTTTAGCCTTAAAAACAGGATGTTTGTTCAGCATTATTTCGTGAGCTCCAAAGTGCAATGGTCTTCCTATGGAAAGAAGGGGACTGGAGTCCTCAGAGGTTCTTAGAGATCTACCTAGACAAAGCGTCGAGTAGCTTCTTGTCCTCCTTTTCATGGATGAACCAAGAAGGAGCTAGGAAAAGGTGTGGGAATGTTGTTCTAGACTGCCAAACAGTCCTACTGTATTACATGCCCAACGCTGGTCTTAATGATTTTTGCAGTTGCTTAAATAACTAGGCTAAAAAACATCTATTTTTAGTAAATCAAAACGTGATTAAAATGCTGACGTTTAATATACAGTGGTTTTGGAGAACACATGAATACTTTTGTATGAGTGTGAATTGCTTTTTAAATTTGTCAGTATTACTGGTATTTTTGAAATAAAGGTAACAACTTTTTCTCTTGGTGTTTCTGTGTGGTTTAACTTTAAGCTTCTGTTCTTACTGGTTGTAAGACATTTTAAATGTTTGAAACAGTAATGGAGCAAACAGTTAAAATCATGAGCCATGAATTTTTTAACTGAGTCTAAAACGGTGGGAGGAAAACTTTAAAACAGAGCTAGAGCTTCACTAACTGTAGCAGGAAGAGTATCTGTACTGCTGATATTTTCACCCATTTGGACAAAGCTCTCAGACACAAAGTATGATTCTTGGGGTGTCTGGTGCAGGGCCAGGAGTGGGACTCAACGATGCTGATGGGTCCTTTCCATCTCAGCTGATTCTATGATTTTCTGTGATTTTGTGAAATGGATTTTCCCAAGCCCATAAACAGTTTAATTTCTGTCCTCTGGCCTGAGTCTCAGCTCAGACTTGTTTCTTTTTCTACAGAACCTTCTGAGAACAATTTTAAGTTTACAGTCCAAGAAGCTAAAATATCTAAAAAGATCTAGGGGAGAAAGATTAATAAACTGTCAAAAATTGTGACTAACAGGAAGCATCTGGTGCTTCCTCTTAACTGAAAATACAGGATTTTTAATGTTCCAAAAACAGAGCAAAACTTTCCTGTCTTAAGGGCGCTGTACAGCTGAGCTGTGCCTTTCCAGTCTGTGAACAGTTTCTGCAGCACTTGAGTCTCAGGTGCTTTCTGAGGTCAAAGGTAGGCATGAATTTTTCCAAGAAACCTAAACTGGCCATTTCCATCCTATGCTCTCCAGCCACATCCAAGTGCCCTCTCACATTTCAAGCAGTAAACAGTGCAGTGGATCTGTGTGTGAGTGGCTTCATCTGGTCACAGCTGCCATCAGAGCAGAAGCCACAACCTGCAGGCAATCCCGACTCCCTGCCCTGTACTCCCGGGCAGCTCCGGCAGAGCCCCAGCCCTGGCTGTGAAGTGCAGCAGCCACCCCAAGGGAGAACAGGAATGGGCTCCTGGACACCAGAGAGCTGCTGCACTGAGGTCTGTGGCAGAGATACCCAAATGGTGAACAATGCCATAAGAACACACCTGAAATCCAGCATGCTGGGGCTGCTTCTTGCTGCTCACAGGTTTTTCTTTAGAGAAAGACACGAGGCTGGATAGCTCAGCCGCAGAGGTGCTCAAGAGCCCTGTGCCACCCTCTCTTCTCCATCCAGCTCCTCTGAACGTGCCTCTTCCTGTACAAAAGCCAGAGCTCACACGTGGTGGTGGCTGCCCCAGGATGCCCAGCTCTGCCCAGCTGCAGACACAGTGCTTCAGACTCTTGGTTACATTTTGATCAGGAATAACTGATATAATTAGTGTTGTATTTGAACAAATCTTAATTGCCCAAGCACCACCTTGACTTGAGCCAGCCATCAGTATCAGCTGCCTTCTGACAGAGATTCAGCCCTTGTCAATTCTGATTAGTCCTGCTAACAGGGCTTAGCCACAGGGGCCTTTTCCAGTGCCCCCACCCTGCCCTGCACAGCTGGGTGTTTGCCTGCCTTGCTGTGACACAAATGCCAGGAACAAATGCCTCCAGCTTCTTCCCCACAGGGACTACTTACCCATCATCCTTTCTTTAATACTCTCTAAGCAAATCCATTATTTTCTCCCAGAAACAAATAGGACATTGAAGCCATTTATCTTCCCTTCAGCTAAAATTAAAATGGCAGAAGAAGGGATGATAATTGAGATATTTTTGAGCAGAGCTGTTGTTGGAGCCAAACCACACTGAATGCCGAGCACTTCTCTCCTGTGGATCAGCCTCTGTGACAGAGGCTGTCCCCACGCAAGCTCCCAAAGCAGGGCTGAGCCTTGCTGGGCACAAATAACACCTGAGCTGCTGAGACACAAAGAATGGAGCAAATTTTGTCACTTTTCACTGAAGTTTCCTCCTCACCACTCCCAAAACCTGGACCTCGACATCTCCCTTTCCCTGCTCCGTAAAAGCAGGGATGTAAACTAGGAAAGAAGTCTCGCTGCCCTTCTACCATGGCTCTACTTCCCAGCCTCTGTCTACTCACCTGGAGGCAGAGGCCTGGGCACTACCTAAGGCAGAGAGAGCAGTGCCACTGAGGGAGCTACGAATCGCTGCCTCCCAACAAATTCCTCCAGCCTCTCCCCGGAGAGGAGCTGGAGCCGCTCCTGTGGCACACGGCCCAGCACGATGCTGCTGCCCCGGGGGAGCAGGAGCCCAGCAGCCCCTGCAGAGCCCCCCCGTTTATTCTCAGTAATCTGAGCTCAGGAAAGAGAGAAATGGGTCAGGTCTGTAAAGCTCACTGTGGCTAACTGGGCTGGTAACACTCGAGGCTGGCGATGCGCCTGCTGCGCTAATCCATGGGCTGCAAGCGGGGACTTCTGCACGCTGGAAGGATGAAAACTGAGCAATAAACAAGGCAGCAACAGTCAGGGGGAACAGGGAGAAAGAGGCCCCACAAATGGAGACACAGGTTCAGGGGAGACAGCTGGCTCAGAAATCTGAGAGTAGAGGCACACAGGTGGCTCCCAGGAGTGTGGGACCAACTGAAAAAAGGTAAAATCTTCTCTGACATCAGGGATATGGGTGTTTTGTCTAAAGATGGGAAGTCCCAATTCAAGAAAGACCAGCACAGCTGGACCTACATCCCACAAGCATCAAGGCAGCAGCTGGGTTAGCTAGGATACCACAGACCCCAGCCCCCGGTGTCAGAAGGAAAAGAGTGTGACATTCCCTGACCACCAACAGCATTTGATCTGAAGAGTGAAGCTCATGAAGGAACACAGGACAATGCCCCAACAGCACCGGGTAACTGCCACAGGAGTTCCTTAAGGTAAAAGTGTGTCAAAGGATGTGGCTCCTGTCACACAACATTCATTTGCACAGCATTTTTGGTACCACAGAGGTCCAAGTACTCACTCATAACTTACCTTTTAAAAATTAGAAATTCAGCAAATATTTTTGTTTCATTTTTCCAGTCAAGAAACAATGCAATTACTAGATAAGTCACACTGAGCAGCTGCTTCATCAGCTCAGGTGTATTGTAAAAAGTAATTACACATGCAAAGATCTCATACAAGCTCTTCAGAAGATAGCATACAGTACATAAATGCCAGGCTTTTCTTTTTTTTAAAATAGTCATGCTCTCCACCAAGCTTACCACTGGCAATGTACAGGTATATTAGAAATATGCAATTTACCTGATAAAAACACTCCGACTGATTAAAATGGAGTGATAGACTCAGCTGGAAGAGTGATGGCTTTGAATTCTGTCAAGAAGTTTTTCTGCCACGGGTTTGAACTCTCTTTCCCAATATACTCTTTGGCAGTCCTTTATATCTCTGTCAAGGCTGCCCTCCAACTCTACCTCTTCATCTGTAATCAAGGAAATACTGTCATCAGTTCCAAATAAAAAATATACTCAACTACATATTTTGTGACACATACAGCTTACCAGCTGTGTATGCTGATGGCTTAAAAACAACTGCACTTGAGATAAGTTAAGCATCACTGTCTGACGGTCTTAGATTAATTGAAAATAAAGGATGGCAAGGTCAGTAGAACAGTGAAAATAGTACTGCAAGTTCTTTCATTCTCACACCTCATAGGTGTCTCTGAGAGAATGACTGTCAGTCTGGAAAGTACCCAGGGTTTAATATTGCCCACAGCAATTTTGCTGACTGGATTTCAAGCAATCTATTCATCTCACTGCAACTATGTTTTTCCTGTCCCAAATTGCTCTGCTAATCTGGAGACTTTCAAACTCTATCTACTCTCACACTGAAGGAACTTGAACCACACTGGTTACTGTATTTACTGATGCTCTCCCTTTCTCACAAATTTCAAAAACAGAATAACAGGACAGTCTTTATTAAAGACAATGTTAGGAATAAAAGGAAGTCATCAATCATTTTCCCCCCTCCATTTTGCTTAGCACTGGATGTGGCAAAGAGACAAACTCTTAGAGAAAATGCAAATCAGTCTGCAACCAGAAGCATTCTCCTGAATCAGGAATCCACGAACACAACTGCTACTGCTGAATGATTTCACACAGTTTAACAGAGATATTTTACAGGCTTTAGGCCATAAACAAACTTAAAATGAAGCTCGAATCCTGCTCCAAATGGGCAATACTTAACCCTTGGCCTACACTATGAAAAAGCACCAGATTCACAATGTGTTAAATAAATAACTCTGTAAGGGAGCTTATTGCACAGTCGCAGCAGGTAAAGGCAACTTGGGGCTGAGGAGGAACTTCAGTCACCCACACTTTGAATCAAACTTTATGCAGAAAAGATGCTCCAACAGCAGTTACTCCCATCCAAAAGCATGCCAAGGTGCCTGTGCAGATCAGATGGCCTGAGCTGAGACAGGTATGAAGGAGGAAATGACATTCCTGTGTGTGAGATGGGCTCCAGCTCACACAAAGTTACCAGCAACTGCAAACAGTACTTGGCTCCTGTGCCACTACACTGCAACTACCAAAATTAAACAGAGGCTGATTGTGAGAAAGATTCCAAAATGGGTTCTATGTAAGGAGATGACATTTAGAGTCTTTCTGTAACAAAATAAAGAGGATAAGAACAAAATCCATTCTTTCAAGAAGGAGGTCATATCTCTACAGGAAGAAAATTTGTAATCAGAGATAAAATCCAGCCTCTGACATCAAATCCATATTTGATGATGTCATAGGATAATTTAGGTTGGAAAAAACTTCTGGAGCAGAGTTACCATGTGTCAGTTTGCTGTAGTCTGTGTACTGTTGTGTACTTGAACACCTTTTAGGACAGCAGCCTGTTCCAATGTTTAACTTCTGCTACAATGGAAATCTCTTTTCCTAATGTTTAATTGGAATTTTGTCTTATTGCAGCCTGTGCCCATTAGCTCTTGTCCTGTCAATGGCACAGTAACCCAACATACCTAAAATCAATCTCAGCAGCAGAGAAGCCAGAGACCCTGAAGTGGAAAATAAGGGATTATGGGATTTGTTTTCAAGGAGAATTGCTTTGCCTGCTCCTGCTTTTTTCTACCCAAATTAACTCTGTTCAAACACAGAGCGAGAGCCATTTCTCCCTTTTATTAGACAGCTGTTCTCCCCAGAAGTCGACTGAATATTTATGGAATCACTGAGGTCGAGAATTCCAGCCTACAAGAACAAGGGTCAGAAGCAGTTCAAAGCTGAAGTGTTGAAGTGAAACAGTAAATTTCCCAAAGCAGAACGTGAGTAAGGCTGCGGATCAGCGAGGATCAGTGTTCCGCATGCAAGCTGTGCATCCTCAGATAATTTAATTTTCCCACGGCTCTCCTCAAAAACCAGCAATATTGGGTCCTGGCCAAAGAGCATATGTGCTGGCTGCAAGCCCAGGAACAAGACAAACACAGCGGGCCTGCATAGTGTGGGGGAAACTGGAGACTGGAGTGCAGATTCCTGCAGTCTGCAAGGGCTGCCCATCCTTGAAGCACCGCAAGACAGGGGCTGGCAGCCCTGGAAGCTCTGTCACGTCATCTAAGAGTTCACATGGACTGAGATGCCCAAATAACCTCCTGGAATTGACAGTGGAGGTAAAAGACAAGAAAAAGTCTGGAGAGAGAGGGAGAAACTTTCTTTTCAGTGAATGGCCAAACAGAAGAATGTTCTCAAGACAGAAGCTCATCTCCACCACTGCTCGTGAGGGCCTGGGCCAAGGCATGCCAGGGCCTGGGAACAGCAGCTTCCCGAAGCTCTGAGCCAGCAGAGAGACTGAGATGCCCAAATAACCCCCTGGAATTGACAGTGGAGGTAAAAGTCTGCACAAGAAAAACTCTGGAGAGAGAGGGAAAAACTTTCTTTTCAGTGAATGGCCAAACAGAAGAATGTTCTCAAGACAGAAGCTCATCTCCACCACTGCTCGTGAGGGCCTGGGCCAAGGCATGCCAGGGCCTGGGAACAGCAGCTTCCCGAAGCTCTGAGCCAGCAGAGTGACATGAAAGTCAAGCAGCTGAAAGAAGGGGAATGACAAGTGCCATTGGAAAGCAGGGCCACTGCATCCCAGGCTGCTGGGATCAGGCAGGGAAAAAGAAAAAAAAATTGTGCCCTTTGTCCAGCCTTTCTCTTGGGCACAACATCTTTCCAGGCCACTTCCATTCCCTTTTGCTTCCTTGTATCTTTTGTCATCCTGTGCCAGATGGGGGAGGGAAAAATAAAGGGGAGGAGGCCAAGCACAGCAGGTGAAGCGAGGTGTCTGCTGTGCCATGCTCCACTTTTTCCGCTTCCTGAGGGAGTGCTGACGCTCGAGTACAGCTCACTGGCTGTCAGCATTGCCTCCTGCTTCCTGAATGATAGAATCAGAGCAATGCCGGTTCAAGGCTGTTGCTGGACACAATGGGAGGAGGAAGATGTAGACAATATTAACCAGCTGCTATTACTAAGATTTGTTGGCTCTCTGCACACAGAGGAACCAGATCCAATGAATAAGATGTGCTTTTTCTACGGCTCCTCTTCTTACTACAGTGTGAAGAATGACTGGCCTTCTGATTTAATTCTAACCTCTTCCTAATTAATTACCTTCACAGCTGCATCACAATCCCAACTGTAACTGCAATTGCAATTGTACCAAACTTCCAGCTGACAAAAGTTATTCAATGAGAGTTACAGTTGCTATCCAGCCTGGAGTCTGCAGTCAAATCAATTGCTTCAATAAGCAGTGTTAAATGCAGAGGAAAACATAAGCATGTATTTTCTAAAACAAAGATATATACCTCTCGCTGTGTGCCAGAAAATTCCAGCATGATTGTGGCTGTAAAGTTTGCAGATCTCTTACAGAATATTAAAAAGTGCAGTAATAACCTTGAAACACTGCTATTTTTGGATAAATAAATGGAATTACTGCACACATTAAGATAAAGTCCATCCTAGCAAGGAATGTAATACAAGGAACTATTACAGCAGTGAATAGCAGTAATTCTGCTGTAACTGGAAAAAAATCCTCACAAATCCACCCACTTTTCTGATTGTCTACAACAAAAGAGACCATGAGATCTCACATTCTGTCTGGGTCTGACAATAAGTATACATCTTTAATCAATTTCCAATTAAAAACCATATCAAATATAATTAAATTTCCTTCAATTTGATTTGTATTTTAAAGATTTTTTAAAAGATAATTGCAAGTGACTTACCCAAAATAAAATCATAAGCAAAGCAGTGCTCAAAAACTAAAGGAGAAAAATTACATATACCAACTACAGGACTACTACACAGCCACTGAACTTTGTAAAATTTGAGGCAAAAGTAAATGCCTGGATGAAAAGATCCCACTGGGTAAACAAGTCAAGGTCCTTACATTAACCTTTCAGCCTTGTGAAGCAATGAGCACACCCTTCCTGGCTCTAGGGAGCAGATGAGAAATTGTCAGGATGTTGTCCTTGCCCACAAGGAGACCATGGAGAGACGAGAAAGGTGGCCAGGCAGCAAAGTCACCCTGCTGCACCCCAGAAATGCCACGATCCCCAGGGGCCCAGTGTGTCCACACCAGCCAGCCACTGAAAGCTGCAGGACAGACTTCCCACCCACACTGACCCTGCTTTGATTTTGCTCCTTGTGTCTCTGTCCTTGAGGAAAAAAGGCCAGGGCTAGGAGTCTCACCCAGAAGTGCTGTGAGCAGCGCCAGCAGCGCGCTGGTGTTTCCCCCGAAGCAGGAGGAGCTCGCTGTGTTCTCACTGTAGTTCCACAGGGTCTTGCAGATCAAACACGAGAGCTGCCAGTCTGCCGGCCCAAAGTCTTGTAAGCAGTCAACCAACCTGTCAGTACCAAACAAAACCAGTGGTTTGTTCCATGGAATTTACTCCTGAGCTCTTCAAAATCTGGCAGTCTAGAAATGTAAGCAAATTCCATGGAAGTTTGTAGGAAAATTCTACATTAATAAACTTCAGATGCTACTTTCTTCCTCAGTAATTTCCCCCTTTTCATTAAGTGTAGTTCCCCAAGGATGTGGACATACCTTTTGTCTACATGTGTGTGCCTGCCTGCAGCTGCCCATCCTCTGTAACTTCCTAACCCAACTGACCCAATTTCACTCATATACTTGGCAAATGTAACCATTTCAAGGACACTAAAATTCCATCAAATTTCATTACAACATGTGACTGTCCCAAATCTGTGATTACCACTAAAGCAGAGATTGCAAACCAAGCCAAACTTTATCAGGCACCAATGATTCATCTGGAAAAGGTGGTGGGAATGCAGAAAAAGCTTCAGTCAGAATATCCACCTTACTACACATCAGATCATTTCACCAAAAAAAAAAAAAACACAAAAAAAACCACAAAAAAACCCCCAAAAAACAAAAAAAAAAACCAAAAAAGGCAAAAAACCACCAAAAACAACAAAAAACCCACAACCAAATCCAAAGGAACTTGCTACTTCCATGATCAAAGAATTACCTTTCACATTCAGTGAAGTCTCACAATTTTGGTGATCTCACCCATTCTTGCATTTCCTCAGCCTGTACTCCCATGGGACTCCTCTCAGAAATGTCTGTTTTACTAAGGTGTCCCTGGTGACCTCTCTAAGAGTAATCCTTCATTGCTGCTCTCTTCTTCAGCCTTAGGAACCCTTCCTTCCCTCACTTCTCCACTTCACAGAGATTTATAATCTGTTGATTAGTAAAGGATAACTACTATATTCAGGTATGGCTGAAAATATCAGTCATTGAAGACCACCCAAAAAGAGGTTTACTTTTTTCCTCCTCTCTGAAGGCAGTCATTGTGGAACAACAGGAGTCATCTAATGAAAAGCCAAAAGAACTTGCCCTAATTCTTTTAAAATGTAACTCTCTGAAAAGACTAATTCCCTGTTTTCTTTGGGCCACTATATATTAGTAAAATAACCTCAGCTCCAAAAAACCATAGAGCTGGTTTGGCAATGTCAGGATCATCTCCAATGATGATTCCAAATTCTCTAGATTCATTTCATGCTGTTACTGTTTTTTGTTCTTTCCTTCACAAATTTTCATACAGTATAGAAAATTCTGAATTTATATGGTTCTATAGGCTACAGAATACTCTATATAGTAGAAATTTCTCACATTTATTATTCAATTTTCCAGCAACTTATTTTTATTCTCCTTTTTCAGCTTTATATTGTAAGTTAACTACAACATGGGAAGGAAGGACTATGCATTGTTTACAGTGTATAAAAAAGTAATTATATGATGTATGAACAGGAAAGCATTTCAAAGTGAGGCATATTGTTTCATAACTGTGGGCTGCACCAACTGCTTCACAAGCACAGGAACATGATCTTTCATGTTGCTCCAATTAAGCTGGATCTGCTATTATCTGAACATCAAAGCCATGAGTGCTGCATCCACGGTGGTTTTTCAAGGTCTAATATCCCTTACAATGTCACAGTGCCTTAGACTTGAAGTTCCAGAGAGAGAAGACCCAGGAGCTGTTCCCTGCTGAGCATGGCCACATCAGGAAGTTCTCCCTACAGAACCAAGTGGTTACAAAAACTGAAGGGACCGTGTGGTTTATCAGCTCCTGCAGTGCCTGCACACTCACCCAGACACACTGACCGTGCTGCTCACTGCAGCCCACCGAGGATCCAGTCAAGCCAAGCTGCAAAGCCAGGTCTGAGCTGCTTTCTTCTATGGTATCCTCTGCTCTGTACATCACAGAGGGTCTTTGGGAGACTTTTCTGTGGGGTTTGGCTCTTATGAAAGGCTTGTTCTCAAAGAACTTTAGATACTAAGTATCCACTATGCTGGCATCTTTATTACAAGCTACTGGCCCCAGTAAAAAGCAATCCAATTGAAACTTTTTGGCCAAACTACTCAAAATTACCTTTTCTCAAGCACAATCAGGAACTTACTTTCCAATTCCTCCTTCTTCCATGAGAAAAGCTCGTTTGTTCTCATCTACTGTGAGATTGAGCAGAACTCCACAGGCAGGAAAACAGACCTCTCGGTTCTTGGAATCCAGCAAAGCAATCACAAACTTGTATACTGGATTGTAAAAAGGAAATAATATTACTAGGAAGATTGATTTACCATATAAGTGGCACTACAACACACTTATTAGAAAGCAGTCAAATGCAGGATACCCTATCCAAAAATTCACCCTTGTAGCATATTACTGTGACTTTTGTAGAGAAGAACTGACAGAGCAACATCATGCTGAACACCAGTTCCTTCCAAACAACAAACCAGAAATTCTAGTAATAAAAATACACCAAAGAAATGTGAAAATCCCATCAGAAGAAGCTAAGTTGACCAAACTGAACTGCAGCTTATTTCTTGAAAGTATGACGCCCCATTCCATCCCAGAGTCAGCAGAAACTGCAAGGATTTGGTATCTGGCACTCAGAGGGGGACGCTCTTTCCTTTGACTGAGACTGTTCACCGGGAACCAGCTCCTAAAGGTCACTTCTCCCTTCACAGTGCATACTGTGACATGATCACCTCACTTTCAGCACCAAGAGGCAGAGAAAAAACAAATTACAATGAACTGCTGTCTAAGCTGATGACACACCTTCTGTGGATAGCAAGGAGTTGCCATTTTCCCCAAAGCTCTTTAGATACCCAAAGTAAAAGGACTTGAGAAAACTTGTATCCTATTTCACCCCAAGGCAAATAGGAGGTCTTTGCTGAGGCAGTCAAATCCTAGCCACATGTTACAAAGTGCTAACAAACTGTCAAATATCAAAATCAAAACATTGAGATTATGAACCTAAGTGAGATTTTAATTGGATTTAAATTTTATATCATATCACTACTAACCTGCAGGATCTGAAAAGCTATTTGAGTAAAGGGAAATTTCAAATTTGAAACTTCAGGAAAAACAGAGTTTTTGTAATATTTACCTTTGTGAAAGTACCATGGCATATTTTTCCTACTCCAATATTTCCATTTTAATGAAACTGAAATAAAATGGTATTTATAATGCCTATTACAGGATTCTAATGTTTGCCTAATTTGCAAAACATCAGGGAAGATTGATTCTACCCTTTAACTGAGACAGCTTATTAACAACTTTTTCTTTTTAGAACCATGGACATTTAAAAATAGAACTCCTACAAACGCAAAAGTAACTCACTCTTTCTCTGCATGATGAAGTCACGGATCTCATGATGCTGGGAAAGATTGCCAAAGACTCTGACAGCCTCCACAACTGCATCCATATTGTCACTCATTAACAGCTTTAAAAGCACTGTTGGTTTGCAGAGAAATTAAATAAAAATTGTAAATCACAAATACATGGCTCTTTTTTATCAATGAATATCAGAATGCAAACAGCAACAGTAATAAATGTAAAAAATGGGAGCAGGTTTGCAGAGAAATTAAATAAAAATTGTAAATCACAAATACATGGCTCTTTTTTATCAATGAATATCAGAATGCAAACAGCAACAGTAATAAATGTAAAAAATGGGAGCAGTTGTTTGTCTGTCTGGTGGCAGCAAAGGGGATGAGCTGATGGTAGAACAAGAACAAAGTTGTGTACGGCTTTGAAGATAAAACAAAGAGCTCCAATATAGAACTAAATGCAAAGGAACAAACGAGGAGTTATGGAGACAGTCTAAGCACAGTTGTAATAAGGAGCCAGTTTGCTATGCGGTTTGAGTGGGATAATGTGAAAATCCAGGAAGACATAATTTAAAAAATGTTGTAATATATAAAAGAATTGATTTAGATCCTGAACAGATGGTCTTATGGTGGGATGTCTCCTAAAGCTCAAATTATTTTCTGAGATTAGCTGTTTTCTCTCATATATATAACAAGCAAACACATTTTTTTTTAACAGCTACTTAATATTGTCCCAATCTGAAGCATTCACTTCCTTGCTGCTTTTCTGCTTTTCACATATGATCAGTGTGTGCTTCAGCAGTAGGAATGAGACCTTCAGCACTTCCTAGGAAGAGCTACAATCATGGAGGATTTTGGTGCATGGCAGAGGAGTAATGTTTCAGAAGTTACATTTATCAGTCTCCTGTGAGTACAAAGCAAAACACTAAAATCAGTCCATCACACAGAGGACTCAAATAAGTCAACCCTTAGCTCTTAATATGACAGAAAGAGGAAAAATATAGAAGGGAAGTTGGCTTTGTCCTCATTACTTCTGCCTCTGGATGTTGCAATACTGAACACACCGTGAACTTGTCTTAAAAAGCCATCTGAAGGGATTTTGTCCACCACTGATATCAAACAGCAAGTATTCTCAAAATGCCTGCAGGAGCAGGAAGCCTGCTGGTCTTGCATCAAAAGGTTTCCTCTTTCCTCAGTTCAGGAAGGCGATGGGACTAGCTCCACATGCCAACAAACAGGACAGAAGTAATTTGTTTCCAACCAGCAACATGAGGCAGCTGGCTTATAGGTGACACAATGAGTTGTGACAGAAAGCAGAGATGTCACCTACAGAAAATATGATGTCTACCAGTTCAGGCACTGAGCTGACAACCAGGATATTTTTTCCTATTCCTCATTCTACCTGTTGTGTGAACTTCAGGTTCTGTCTCTACCCAATGTTTGGTCTACTGAGACAGAGAGATGTGCAAGACACAGCCTCTCTACCTTTTGTACAACATTAACACATCAGTTCCAGAAGTCAGTGCAGCTCCTACACACTGTGTTGTCCACAATGTCAGAGAGGAGAGAATCACTCAATTCAATATTGCCAATGGATTTACAACCCAGAAACAGACAGAAATCTGATTTTACAGGTATAAAATGTAACAAGAAGAAAAAACCCTCTTGCCATACTGTGATTAAAAGGAAAAAGCAACATGATTATTTTGGCTCAGGTATATGGATTTTGAACAAATCTGGCAAAAATTGCTGAACAGAAAACAATATTGCAAATTCCTTTGCAGAAGAAAATAAGAGGTTTTGTGAACAACCCAACTATTTTCATATAAGTCATAGTGTTTTCCAAAAAAAAAAAAAAAGGGAAATCATTATTGAAAGAATTTAGCCCTATGAACTTTATACTCCTGCAACATAATACCACAAAATGTTATGTGTCTTTCTGTTGTTTCAAAATGTTTCTGCTTTCTAAAAGCTGTACTAAAAGTATTCATTTAAAAGTCCTTACTTTCAGCAATGTGTAGCTTCTTGTCTTGAACTGCAGAATTCTCCACTAGGTAGTAGGACAAATTGTTGATTGTTGTTGCAGCATTGATGACCAACTCTTCACAGGCATCGACTGACTTGTATTCTGAGAGTAAAAAAACCCCAAAACATATGCATATGTAGATAAACACACACATATGTCTAATTTTGCAGTGCATTAGATCCCAGAAGCAAACTGAGTAATGGTTTACACAGCCATTACTACAGTCAAACCTTCTGCTGCTCAGTAACATGGCAGAAGCTAACAGGAACACCTGATCCAAAAATGGTAAACCAAAACCATTCTTTCCCATTATTAATTTAGAGAAATCATTGTGACTCAGGCAACATAATTTAAAATTTAGTAGTTAAGACATTTTACAAATCTCCTTTGCTGTTTTAAGATGGCACTGAGGAGAGTCCACATGCAGGAACAGGGCTGTGTGATTGACATGGAGAAATGCCAAGGACTATTACACTGAACTGTCAGGTATCTAGGAAAAAAAAATGTAAAAAACCCCTTCAACAATATTTCAAAGATTTTTCTCTTAGAGTTCCTGACAGAATGTTAACCTGTCTAAAAGTATGAAAGACTTATTTGTCCAAGGTCTCTGACCTCAGAAGCCAAGAGTGAAGGAAATAAAAGAGGGGTAAGTTCATAGGGAGACAGAACATTTTGTAGTGAACTGACTGATAGAGCGCTCAAGAAGAGGAGAGGGTAGCAGAGTGAAGCTTTGAAGGTCAAAAGCACTTTCAAAATCATTAAGACATTAAGACAGTTTCAACCCATGAGACAGAGCCAAGTTGTGAGTCTGACTTGTCTCATCCCTCATGACTGGTAAGACAGCGTACAATCAGGCTGATTACCTTAACATAATATTTAATGTTCTCATTACACAGTAAAATATCCTGAGCTGTTTAACATATATCTTGTCACAGTTAAACTCTATTATGGGCAGAGCAGACCAGCCCTAGTCTGTAATTAGATTTACAAGGGGATCAGTAAGTGGTAAAGGAACTGCAGTCCTAATTCTCTGTTTGGAGGGAGACACTCTTATATCTGAAAAGATAAAAAGTTGGAAGACTGAAAAAGAAGGAAAAAAAGTAAGAGAAAATTCTTTGAAGAGGCTGAAAGTTATGGGTGCAGAGAACAGAAACAATACTTAATCCAAAACAGTCACAAAAAATGCAAACCTTTTAAAAAAACACATCACCACCAAACACATCTATATAGCACCTGATAAGAACAAACTTTCCTTATATATTAACTCTCAGTGAGATGTGTTTAAAATAAAATTTGTTTTCTTATCTTTAATGATACTATCTGCAAATCTGATCACTGAATTAAAGACTTCTACAACATCTTTCCCCAGATACTGAAAAGTCAGTACCAAAGTAGCAATGCTTCCACTATCTCAAACAGGCCTCCTACATAAAACAGTTTATGAACATCAGCCAAATGACTTTGGGGTTTTTTTGCAATGGAAAGTCTTAAACACTGCTTACAGACTGAACAAAGATAACAAACACAACATAGATTTTATTACCTAGTACTGTAACAAGTAATCCTACAACAGGATGGGCAGCTGCCAGAGCTGCACCTACTCTAGGGTGAATGGAGAGATTGGCCAGCACTCTTATCAGTTTTATCAGAACATCTTCTGCTTCTGAAGGATACTTTTGTTGGTTTTTTCCTTTTCTATCATGGTGCCATGTCATTTCGTTCAGGTCAAGTTCATAGTAGGTTTGGAATAATGATGTCAAGGTGTTAACACTTTCTTTTTCTTTAAAAAATTGCTCCCGGGACTGGTCATTCCTTGCTGTTAAATTACCAAGAATGAAGATGATACGGATAACCAAATCCTGTAACAAAATAAATAAACAAGCCATGTTACATGGAAAACATCAGAAGGTGGCAGCTGCTTAAAAAGAAGATAATATTTGATTTGCTTCCCAATTCAGATAACAGCACATCCAGAACAACTGAAGGAATGCCAAACACAGCAGCTAGAAATAATTTTTTATGCTACCAATTTTCATAACCTGATTTATAGAAGAAATCAAGAACATCTGACAGAACTAGTATACCACTGGAGTAATTACTAATGCGATATACTTAGTAGAGGTCATCTATTTTTACCAAGCCCACAGTAATCTTAAAACATCTTAAAACCACACTTTATATAACTAGAATAATCATATGGGTCAGAATTTACTAATCTTTCAAGAAAGCAAGTGTCAGCTGTGACAGGAAGAGACCATAACCTTTCCCTTTCTAGGCCTGGTAACCATTGTAGAGGTTAAACTCCTTCCCCTTGATTTGTTACTGTTAAATCCAAATTAGGTTTTATTAATTTCATTGTTCATTCTAATTGCTTACAGATAGCTGAATTATTTGTTCCTGATTTCTATCAGAAATATAATTTAAATTGACTGGTCTGTCATTCCTTAGTTCCTTCTCTTTCTCCTTTTAAAAACAGGCATCCTACAATCTTGCAATTCTTCATAACTTTTCAAGAATCCCAGAGATTGGGTCCCCTTTCTGTCCTTTTGTAAACACCAAAAGGAAAATTTCATCAGCTGGTCTGATGACATTTAATATGCTTCAGCTTGTTTTTTAGTGACAAAAGAATCCAGGCTAAAGTAGGGATTATTCATTTGGTCACACATAACCCTTTCAGAAAAAGAAGCCAAAAAAAAAAAAAAAAAAGGCATTTCACATTTCACTATTCACAGTACCTGCCAGTAATGCTCAGCTTCTTCTGAACACCAGAGAAATTATTTCCTTGCTGTCTTCTCAATCTACTATAAAAAGTTTTGTTTCTTGTTATGTCCCTTTGTAGTTGCACCTCACATTGTGCTCTGCTAGGGTTTTTTCTCCTGATTTTATATGCTCTTCCTACCCTTTTATCATTGCTGAATGAGACCTACTTTCTCTGTTATTTTTCTATCTTGAGATCTCATGATTTAACCAAGTTGCTCTCCTAAAGCACTTTCTAGCCTGACCTTGATTTTGCACATACTTGCACACTTTCAGTGGCAAGACTAGAGGATCCTAACTGAATGGCATTCAACTACCTCCCCATCTTTTTCTTACCCACCAGTATGTGACAAGAAAAAAAAATTGTGAAAGTCTGAAGTAACTCAAGTTTAAAGTATTTGAAACATTTCCCTCTGTCACTTGCATCAAAATCTACTAATTTTTTTAAAAGTCTGTAGCTTTGGCTTAATGGTGCAGGTAAAGCAACAGCATTTCTTCAAGTACATGAGAACCATCTTCCTTTAGCTGCCAACCTCCTGTACTTGCACTCACCTAGAATTTTACTGAACAATTATTCCGCTGTTTTTCTTCAAATATCATAATTGTATTTACACATATTCTAACCCTCCCTGGTAATAGTAACATAAGTTAAGCAGGCACAGTCTAACTTGTTAAAGTACACAAGCTAACACTGAAGGAAAAAAGATGATTAGGCAGCAACCCCTCCTTTGATACCTGCCTTCATCAGTAAGCTTCAGGTCCTAAGCCTCTGCCACAAGACACTGGCAATAACATCCTCTCAGGAAGATGAGTGCTATGCTTGAACATGACAAGCAGCAGTCTCCTACGTGAGGAAATGTTTTTCACATTCATGTATTTAATAATATCACCCTGTAGGACACACTTCCACTTTTTTTTTTTAATTAGGCATCACATTTTTGTTACGATCTAAATGTCATCACGACAAGTTTTTATGAATATTCTTAATGACTAACCACTAAGAGCTTTCACCTTTACTGGCACAACACCCAACTCACAAAGGCTGTAAAAATTTGAAACAAACAACTGATGAATCAGAAGAGAGAACTGAAAAAAGCAGGCAATCTAGTTTGACTCGTTTATATTGACTTTCTAATTTTGGTCAAAATGGTATCAGCCCAGCAACAGCTCTACCCAATCAGGAAAGAGACAAACAGGTACCACACAGCAATCAACTGATATTTTCAGAAGTGTGATCTCAGCTGTGCTTTCCACCTACAGCCCAGCAAAACAAACTTATAAAATGCTTCTTTTTTAGCTAAGCACATCCGGCTTTAATAGAATAGTACCGAAGTTGCATTATCTTCCAGTGAAAATTTAACCAGCAAGGTCAAAGAGGAAAGCTGCACAACTTCTCCTGAGTAGTACAATGCTCAAGGATTTGTATTATTTTTGGCTATATTTCTTTAAATGCTCATGGGCAAGGACTACAAGAGTAAGAAACACCATCTTAGAACGGCTATGTAAAAAGATACATGCAAAGCTACATGCTATTTTGAAACTGCTTGCAAGACTAAACCTGTGCAAGGCCCATGGGCCTTTCTGTATGTAGCAAAAGACCAATATAATAAATGAGATTACTGTTCATTTCCACATGTTTGGAATATTAACTGCATATGGAATTTCAGACATTGTTTCACACTTACAGAAAAATTACATTTATCAGATCAATTTACATCATATGGAAGTTTAAACATGTATTGCACTGAAGATAAACCAAATTAAATATAGGAATTACACTCAGTTATTTCATCTTTTTATAGTGATGCATTCACGTGAGACATGATGAACACAGATGCACTGAAACCTGAGTGGAAGTCTATGTACAAGAGCACACAGCTTCACCTACACAAATAAATTTGGACAAACATATCAAGAAAAGCTTTAGAAGGTCTTCTTTCTTGCTTCCTATCTGTGAAGAAACTGTGATATTTTGGGTTTTGAGGTGGTAATGGCACCACATACTCCATCAGCACTTAACTATTATTCTTCTGGCAACTGACACATAAACACTTGATCATCACGGAAATGGAAGTTTTTTTGTTTATCTACTTCTAAAACTCTCTTCCTTGCACTGCCCTAGTGGCAAAGGAGCCCCATGACCTGCTGAGTCACAGAACCTGACAACAGTTTATCCTGGCAATTAAAGTACACCTGCCCCTCAGTGTAAGCACAATGAGCACAGGTACAGGCTGTGCAGGTGTCCTTATCAGTAAGGGAAGAAAGCAAATTAGGTCAGTAGTTTCCAACTAAAACAAGATCAACAAGGAAGGACAGTCTAATCTAGAACCTGTAAATGCTGGCCAAGTACCTGTTGTTACTTTATTTGGTGTCTGGGCCCTCAGAATGAGGGGGATAGTACAAAACAAAAGGTCAGACGCCAGCAGCTGAGTTCCTATTGAATCATCAGCTGTAAATGAAATCTGCTTTCCATGTACCCAAATTTCAGTGGAGTTAGTCAAAATTCTACCACCTGCCCTGCTTCTCATTCAAATCTAATTTACACTTCACTTCCAAATTTGTATTTCTGCTTTATTATGCACCTTGGAAAGAAAACTTGGGAGTTTTCTTTGCAGGGTTTAATAGTCTACTTATAGGCAAAATTACTGTAGTTATACTATGCTGGAGCTAATCTCTTCCAAATACAGTAAAGATTTATCATGAAGTGACATTCTAGCTGGAAAAATTTCTGTTCAACCCCAGAAATGAGAGCTGTCACAATATGAAACTCAATTTAAAGAATAAAAAAGGGGGAGAGGGCAGTGGTGCAGAACACATTGGAAGTAACAAAAACAAATCGAGACCCTCTGGACTAAGTAATGTGAAATAAGCAGCAGGGAGAAGCTTTGCCACAGTGACACCAGGGAGTACCTTGTCAGTAAAGAGACCCTCCTTTCCCCCCAAATATTAATGCATTTGAGGAGGAGACCATTAGTAAAATGCAATTATACTTCAGTGTATCCACACCATAGGACCCTACCCAATAATTTCTACATCCCAAAATCTGATGTGTTCGGCTAAACTTTTCAGACTGCACTTAGTGAATGTCAGCAATCAAGAACTTGTGCTTAGGTTTGTTTGAGGACACCTGGAGTCCTGGGAAAGGTAAAGAAGAAAAGCAAGCACACTGTCACCAGACCAATATTTGATGAAAAGCTGTGTAGGCTCTCTAAAAAAAACAGTATTTCAGAAATTAAATTAATTAAAAAAAAGAAAGTTGAAAACTACATCCTTCACGGTATTGCTCCAATGACTGCTCATCTCTCTTGTTAAAATCTTTATTATTATTACTACTTTAAATTTGAACAACTATAGCCCCTATTTCTTATCAGCTCTTTTTTTTTCCCCTCTAGATTAAAGACTGGTCTTCTAACAGAAATGTCTTCCTTGTACAGATTCTATTAATAGGCAGCTTGCTCATGGTCTGACCTTTGTCATGGATATATTAATTTCCTTGGGGCATTTTAACTCTAGTAATTCTTTTAGCTTTTTTCTAAGGTGTTCCCAAGCTTTCAGCATCATTTTGAGAAATTAAATTAAAAACTACAATAACATTTTTTTATAAATGTGTCTCACCAAGTAGCAATATCTTATTATTATTAGTGATATTCTATTGTTTACCTATCTAGTAATTACATACGTTCACTTCCATCTTTTGATACACCAGAACAGCAGGTTTCTATATGATGCACGCCAACTGGTTCATTACAAACTTTGAATACTGCATTTCTGATAATTTTACACTCAGTGTACAGATCAAACTTAACATTTTTGCTTTTTCTTTCAGCCAAAAAAAAAGAAAAAAAGAGAAAAAAAAATCGTAACTAAAGCTTTAGGAAGATGCACATACACTTTTCAGCTCAGCACACCATCAGAAATCATAGTGTAGGGGAAGAGTGACCTGTAGTTATTCACCTTTATCAGCAGGAAAATTCCTTCAGAGTTGTCAGAAGATCTATCCTAAAATTGCTACTTTCTTCTTGGAAAAGAAAAGCAAATTCAGAGAGAATGATTGATCAGTTTTGAATATGCAAGTACACACACAAAACACTGGAGAAAAATC